ACATTATGATGATCAACTCCAAAATAGTGATACAACGTAGTTTAAATATTATTAATAAAGAGTTCGAAGACGTTTTTCCTGAAGTAAATAAACTGCTATCTTTAATAGTAACAATTCCAGCAACCAGCCTAGTTGCAGAAAGAAATTTTTCATGTCTAAAACGTATTAAAACTTATTTAAGAAGCACCATGTCGCAAGAACGTTTATCTGGACTCGCACTAATGTCAATAGAAAAATGCTTAGTAAATGAATTTAGCAGAAGACCAGACTTTTATGACGAAATTATTAATAAATATGCTACATTAAAAGATAGACGTATAGATTTAATAAACAAAAATTAAGTTTTTAACAAGAGGACAGCGTGCTGGTATAAAAGTACTATTTAATATTATTTTTCGCCAAAGATTGAACTATTTCACTTTCAAATTGTGACGAATGGAATAATTTGTTTAGTTCTTTATTTGCTGCGGTAAAATAATTCGCATTGTCAGAATGAATGGCTGAAATCTTCCCTCTTCGCATCATGAATCGTTTTAGTGTGCTCAAAAATGCTTCTGAAGTGCAGTCAGTTACTAATTTTACATGCACTGCCTTTGTTGCAAAACATTTGAATACGTGTGTTTTATTCTTGTGAACGAGATGGCCCATAGCAAGTTTTTAAGAATGTAATTTATTGTTCTTTCTTATAAGTTTTTTTCTTTTTTTGTAGATCAATGTGTTGCGTTATTTTCCGTTAGACGGAAAGCCCCTTCGAGGAACGATTTAAGCAAACAATTTCTTTGCCGATTTTGCGCGAAGAATTACAAGGGTCCTATGTGGATAGGGCACATACATACATTGGCGAGAGTGTATTGCGCAAGATGCAACGTACTAATTGTAACGAGTAGAAGATTTGTTTGCCAAGGTAGCCGGCTTGGCTTCACAGGCTCTAGATTCCACTGCGGCCACTTTGTACGAGAAAGGTATTATCCACTATCGGATGAGGAAGGTATATTGCTCCAGATGCAAGACGATTTACCTCGCTTGGATTCACAGAATCATTGATTAAATACATATAGATAGACCCATGCTATTGTTTGGAGCGAACAGGCCAACGCGGCGGTCCTTCAGCAGCTCGTAAATGAAGAGATTTGTAATAAAGTTTCCTAGAACAGCCTGTCTCTTCAATGAAAATTTTAGTTTGTTAACGTAATTAAGTAGGTAGGTAAAATTTTAAACCGGATCCATATTTTTACTATGAAATGTGGGTACAATATGCTATATTCCTTTCTCGCTGCAAGACAGAACAAATAGATGAATAGTTTTTAAAACTGTTCCATTTTTCCACTGTTTATATTCTTGTGTCGAAGTGAAACACTAAAAAGCCGAAAGTCCGGAGATAAAAGAGTGAGTTTTAAAACACATAAAAACGACTTCTTTTTGGAAAAGCTTATTTACTTAAATATTGTTCTGTAACGTCCCGCGACGTGGAATGGAGTTTCTTAATGTACAAAAGTATGTTGGATAATAACCGAAAAATTTTCTTGGTTAAAATTAAAGGAAACACAATTATTATTTGAAATTAAAATAAATAATATCAAGAACTTGTGCTATGTATGAAAAATATTCATTTTAAATAAGTAAACTATGTCAATAAACCATAAAACCACAACAATCTTTTTTTTGCAGAAATTATATTTCAATAAATTTTCAGTAGCGAGTTATCGATATACTTAATTGCATTTACAATATAAAATGTGAAAGAAAATGTCTTATTTTTTAGTTTATGCGGCATATGTTACCCGTTTTTTAAGACATATATGAATGGATATGTTTTGTCTTTAGTATATATCTGTCCGTCTCTAGACTAATAAATTTTAGTTTAAACATTTGATGCTGATTTGCACGAATAAACAAATTAAAACATTAGCCAAACAGCGGTTGCTAACGATGTCAGAAAAAGTGACTTGATTTGAACTTTTTCCAAAATAGTAATTATTTTATCGAACAAAAAAAATATGTTGACAGTATGAAATAAAATCCATAACGACATACCTCCGATAACTCTTTTCGCAGAACTCGTTTCGAAATTAAAAACTCGGCTCCCTACGGTCGCCTCGTCCTGAAACATCTCACTCTTTCTATAAAATTTGAGTTACCGGACCGTATTTATAATAATGTTAGCACTAACAAGTATTTAAAATAACAAGTACTTAATAATTTGTTTGTTTTATTTATTTTTATTCATTATAATAATCCCATTTCTTTATCAGAAACTTTTAAACGAAATAAATCCTACTTGGCTAGAAATAACGGCAAATTTGTGTTAGGCTCATCTGGCAACGTTGCAAATTATTTAAATGCTAACTATGAGATTTTTACACATTTTTTCGTCGCCCTCTATCGAGTGGTAGATTTATTAAATATATTATTAGTGTGATTTGTGTTACCTATGCGCGTGATTGGTGTCCAAGCTTTTCGCCGGCGTTTGACGGCCGACCGTTGGTGCGCCATCTCTTGTTCGCCGGCCGTTGGCTTGTTCGCTCCAAACAATAGCATGGGTCTATCTATATGTATTTAATCAATGACAGAATCGAGATTCCCCTACGGGCACTATGTACGTCAAACGCATTTCCCTTTATCGGATTACAAAGACAATGGTGACAGCGGTATAGACATGTGATTGTACAATACTTGTATGTGTATTAAATGAGTTAAAAAAATTCTATGTAACAGCACATGCATATAAAATAAGTTTTAATGGTTGCTCAAAGAGAATAACTAAAGTACGAATACCAAAAATATATATTACTCTATTTCGCATATTAATGATATAAAACGGTATAATAAGTACAACTAAAGCAAACAGTTAATTGAATTATTCATCAATGTGTTTTTGTTGCAATTCGGATAGACTTTTCGACGAGCTTGTACCACTTGTAAAGTAACCTCATTGGAAATACACCTGTTAAAACTTTTATGACTTAAGCGGCTTAAGCCAAACCACCTTTGTAACTCAAACTTGTATTACTTAACTCAGTTCACAGCTACATTATGCCAACAATGAACAGTAATAATCTTGCAGTTCGTGTCCACAAAACTTACAATAGCCAATTTGACTTATAAGGGTGGTTTGACTTCAGCCGCTTAAGTCATAAAAGTTTTAACAGGTGTATCTCAAATGAGGTTACAGTACGTGCATGTTGTATTACCTATCTCAACATCACAACAACGCCACACTTATTTTGATGACTATAAATATATAATATAAATAGTTATATGTAAGTATGTACATCAGCAGCTATTCTATTACTGCTGTTCCATGTAATAATTTTTTGAAAACACTTCTACTAATGAATTATTATTACTATTTGTTTTTGTACATGTAAAATGTAATCAGGATATTTAATTGCAAGAGATCTACGTCTTCAAGGATCTACCAATTCGGGAAGTGCACAATTTAAATAACTATAGATTTTAACCAGTATTTTTTATTTTGTTTTGTTTTGATAAAATATAATACAAAATTTCAAGTTTCGTTGCTGTTTTATTTGTAAATTAAATTTGAAACCTGCGACTTTTCTACCATTTCTTGGCGGCATTTTAGAGAAATTATCTGACACCACTGGAGCCAGAGATAATATCTCAGCATTGATGTCCCTGCGTGAGGATATTGTTACGAAATACACCCTTACGCCGCCCCAGTAGGATGCCTATGGCCGTCGAGAGCTTTCTGGAAGTACGCACGGTGTCGGTGGGTGAGTCATCGTTGCTGACGGTGTCGACGCCGCGTTCCACAAAGGCAAGTCTGAAGCGTGCTACCGGAAGTCTCGATGTCGGGCCCAGGAAACTCTCGATGCGGCGTTCTGGATCTATCTAGAGGCACGCATGGGTTTAAACAGAGGCCACCGTCGGGAACAGAGGCATTCAGTCAAACCACGAGTCCAGCGACTGTTAAGAAGAGCCAAGTTGCGCAGGAAATAGTTTGTACATAGTCGCTGTAATAGTTCATTTGTACCAGTAAATTTTTTTCTTTAAAAGTTTGCAACCACTCGTGCAACACAGTCATAACATGTTGGTTATTCTGTTACATGTGCTACATTTTACCAGAATTAAAGTTTAGAATTCGTTGCTCCAACAAAGCTATTATTTATTTCTAAATAATAACAAAAAACGGAAATTGCAGTATTATATTGTGTATAGTTAATTCTTGATTTAATTGTAAATAAAAATGTATGTAAAATATTTATGCAACACATAATACACTGACTTCTTCCAGATATGTCTTTTTTATTTATAGTGAATAATGTTATTTTGGACTTTTTCATAATAAATGCTTTATTCTTCATACCATCTTGTAGTTAATTTTTTGCTTCCAAAATATCCCATTTCCTTGGATGTCAAAAACTTCCGTTTCCTAAATAAAGAAATCAAAATACTGTGAAACTGATAACCCAAACATCCCACCAAAATGGCGCATAAGTACAAAGTGAACAAAAAGGTAGGCAACTTACTCTAGAATGACTTTGCAAAAAGGACCCGTAATAATCGACGATGACAAGGTCTACAGGATACGTTTTTTCGGAAGTACTCTGAATTTTTTGAACAAAAGAAATAGTGTTGGATCATAGAGAAAATCTTGGAACTTTTAAAATATCCATACTTTACGTGAAACTGAAGTCTGGATTACATTATTGCTTAAGGAGATGGTATTCAGAGGTGTGGAAAAAGACGAAGGTGTTTTGGTGGGGTTTCATCAAATGACAGAAACAGTTGGCTCAAAAACGTTCTTTCCTTTGAAGTTTTGTACGAGACAATGACCCTAGGAATCGCCCTCAAATTGGAGATCTCGGAAATGCTTTATGAGATCTTTCAGACGAGTAACCTTTTTTCATACACGTCCAAGTTTTCTTCCCAGTCAGTCGCAGAACGCTGCACTTTCTCACTTGAAACGTGCACGTGTACACAACGCTTATTCAAACCATCAAAATTATAAATACAATAAAAAACATTAAACAAAATAGACTTACACATCTATATATTTAATAAATTTTAGATACACAAACAGAAAAACAACAAAAAAATATATAAAATACTTCTTAACAGGAGCAGATCTAGCAATAACTTCGGTGGTTGCCTCGTAAGTACCACATTCTAAATCCACTCCTGATAGCACCATAACATTCAAAAATAAAATAATTCCTTAAAAAAATTAATTTTATAAAAAATATATTTACATACATACATGATCATACATAAATAATGTGAAGCGACGGTATAAAACACTGCCCTTAAAAACTAAATAGTCTAAGTATTGATACAAAACTGAACAGAGCACAAAAAAGACACCATTTTACAGTTTAGCACTGTGCATTTATGGCTCCTTCACATAGTTAAATTCCTCGATTATGGCCTTCGGATGCAACGGACTCAAATTTGAATCTTTGTAGTACGTCTTCCATTTAATTCGTTCCATCGACAAATCGCCCTCTTCTTTGGTTTTCTGTCGTCGCTTTCTTTCAGTTTGTCCGTAGTGGGTCGAGTTGAGAGTGTTATCATTATCGGAAAGAACGTTTACTTTCTTCTTTCTATTTTTGCGCACCCTGCGTCTACGATCCCTTGGTTTTCTAGCATACTGTGCGTGGTTTAGGCTAGCGCCATTCGGATGATGACCTTTCAAGATCGTGGTGTTGTAACGTGCGTCTTGTGGTAGATCAGGGACCGGAATTTCGTTCAATTTGTTGTATTTGTTCACTTTGTATTGCCGCAAAAGCTTCTTTTTTCCTTTGCTTGTGACAATCTTGATTTTGGTGTGACAGATGAAGTGCTTTTGTTCAACACAGCTTCGGGTATTCCATCTAAGCAACAAAAAAAGACAGTTAGAAGTGGCAACAGAAGTGGGACAAATCTTACTTGAATTGTAAATTGGGGTCTACGATTATGCAGTGCCAACGCAACTTTTCCTTGTCTTCGGGTTCCATTCTAGAAAAACCTTGATAGACTAAAGGTTTACCAGAAGCCGCCCATTTCCAGGTCATTTGCTCCCAGTCATAGAGACCACCAAGCCATCTCTCAAGGGGTTCTATAAAACGGTGTTTAATACTAATTTCATGATATTGCAAAATATACAAACCTAGAGGTTTTTTGCTTAAAGTCCTCCGAATTAGTTTATCTTGGTTTGGGGTTTTGATGATGGCAAGGTTACTATGGAGGTCTCTGCACTGAAAATACGCGTCTTGCCAGGTGGCCGCTTCTTTACTAAAGTAGTAGCATCTATGGCTAAGTCTGATGAAGTTCGGAGGACACACGTAACTCCTTTTGGGTACTTTTTTCACTGGTGTGGTGGTAGTGGCATTTGACGGTTGTTGCTCCTGTGCACTTGACACTGTAAAAAAGCAAGGTAGTCATTAGAGATGCTTCGCTTCGTAAATGTTTAAACATCTTAACGATAATTGGGTATCACCCGAGATTTTACTACGAGTGGGCGTACATTGTAAGTTAATGTATTAGGTAAGTTCTGAAATTTATTGCAGCCTTGGATGTTGGATGAGTCACTTGAGTTTTATTACATCCTCTATCAAGTGGAATTACGGCAACAAATTTATACTTTATCGAGTAAGTTTATTTTGGTGTTAATGTTGGTGGATGTTAATCATTTTACACCTTATTATGTGTTTATTTAAACACTTGAACTCGAGAAGGCTTTTAATTTTATGGCTGGAGATAGTGTCTGATGGTTAGCCAGTGGAAAAATTGAAGGGTGAATGAAATTAACTTGCGAATCGTTGCGAAAGCAGCAGGTCCTTCGAGAGCTGTACTATTTCTTGACACTTAAATTGCACGAACTACAGCAAGAACAAAAGTTTAGTTGTATGTTTGTAGGTATTACATAAGAGTCTAAAAGTTTCAGACATGCCTTTTTTAGGTTGAAACCAATAACAATTAGTCATTGTTCATGTAGTACTAGTTTTCTATGAAACCGAGACCAGTTTTGGCCAAAACAACAGCGAGAAACAAATACCGCACACACTTAAGCTTTCGTATCCATTAGTCTCTTGTACATTCAACTTAAAAGGTAATCAGATCTGCGTTATAACAACAATCATTAATTTGTATATATATAGATACTTAATGTTCCACTTTCACCACTTAATTTTGGAAGGAACTTTACCACCTACTTTTCTAAATGGTATTTGAGGAACTACACGAGCATGTCGAAATTGTTAAAGGTGTAGATGTCCCAACCCTATAGATCTTTTGCAGCGACAATTTTTTTGAAGACTTTTTATGTCAGTATTTATATAACTGAACTAACTACATGTCGTTAAATGTTAATCAAATTCACAACAGCTCATTCAGCGAGATTATGTATCATTACATAAAAAATTTATATTCTTTTAGTTGATTCTTTCTTCGTGTTTTTAATGTCACAGTCGAAATTATTTATTTTATGGGCTTGTGGTGTAACCTGTAGGAAATAACAAAATTCAGTTTCAAGGAAGATTATTTACTTTTTTAAAAATAAAATCTCTTCGAAATAAGTTTTTTAGTTTTTATTTTTGTCTCAGAACCGATTTAACGTTTATTTTATAATTTTAAATAACATATAATTTTCAAGCACTTTCTATTGAAAATCGTCCATAAATAATGTGTACCAGTGAGAGTGCCACATTTAAAGACAAGTTGATCGCATGCCAAAAATGCAATATGCATTGCCAAAGCAAAACGATCGAACTTTTATTCTATTTAACTGAAAATTGTCCCACCAGGAAAGAAGAGTTTTGATTTTCGAAAATAATGATTACAATAACATTTTTAATTCCTGGGTCCTGATCCAGAAAGGCCTGTAATTTTGTTATCTTGACGAATTATTAATTATGATTATTATTAATAAAACTTGGGGAGTAAAGCGCTAGCCAGCCACATCTAAGATTTAATGCTGCCTTATTTGTGGGTTATATATTCCTATTTTAACTTAACCTGTATAAATTATCCCAAAAATTAAACTTTTACAACAAAACTTTACAACTCGTTTTAGAATACACATAACCAATTTATTAATTTTTTTTTTTATTTTGATAGCATTGATGATTACAACAGATCGTTTACAATATATTGATTCATTCCCTCGAGAAAGTTGATGACGTCATCTCAATGTAATTTGCTAAAAAATATGATAGGTGACGTAACATTGTTGTGATTTAGTAATATATTTCTACAGAATGTCTCAAAAAATTAACAAACTCTCTACTTAATTTATAATTGAATTAAATAGAAATATTGCGAACAAAGGAGACAGGAAGATGCTATAAAAATTAAAACAATTTAAAATATAATACATTTGTTATTGTTATTTTAATTTTATTTTAGTGCTGTTTAATATATAATAAAATAAATCCTTGTGGCTCTTATATATTCATATTATATATTTTTATTACTTCCCGAGCGTAAGCGAAGAAACTATTGTAATCGAATCCGTCGACCGAATCTCTACTTTTACGTTTTCTCGACTTTTCATGACCCCTAGAGACGAAGAAATAGATCTCCCTTTTCCGTCTGTCTGTCTGTCTATCTGTTCGTCTGTCTGTCCGTCTGTCTGTCTGTCTGTCTGTCTGTCTGTCTGCCGTCACGAATTTTTATTAGACAATCTCCGAAAGTACTGGGTCGATTGTTGTCAAATTTTGTATTTCTATTAGGAATATCACGTAGATGGTAAAACACTAACCAAAATGTATGTAATCATCCCCATCAATAATGTGATGACGTAACTTTAAAATAGTACATAGTAAATGGGTTTTAAATTGTATAAAAACGTCCAGATTTTTGAAAAAAAAATCAAAATTATAAAACAACATTTTACAATTTAATTTTGAATCTGCAAAACCAAATGCTTTGAAATCTTCCAAATGTTTTAAGGCTACGATAGGCATAATAAATTTTTTATCAAAATGTATTTACTTATCCCCTCCAAAAAATTGATGACGTCAGCTCAAAATTTTGTCGAATAAATCCTACCTAAACTGTAGAAAATATGATGAGTCTGTACTTGTAATTTATCATTCCATTGATATTTTTTGGATTTGTGTATTCAGGGTGACTCAAAAAAAATAATGAATGGGTGAATTTATTTTACTGATTTAATCAGGATCTAGAAAATGGTATGCTTTGAAATCTTGCAGATGTTTTAAATTCATTGTAAGCATGGTGAATTGTTAATCAAAATATCTCTGTTTATTCCCCCCAAAAAATTGATGACGTTAGCTCAAAATTCATCAATGCATTCATAGTTTTTATTGATCATATTAAAAACGAGTTACCCAATTTGCATCAAACCTCTTTATTTAACAATAATTATAATAATGATATTCAGAACATTTTGTCGACTGTAACTTACTATTTAATAGTTTTGATCCTCTGTTTTGAGGGGACGAACTCATTCAAATCAAATTGTTTTCTATATAACATTCTTCCGATGTATAAACATAAACACTTTCAAGTTGTTTTTTTTATCGAGGATACGGACGTACAGTAATGGACTCTATCGGGCAATTTGGTACTTTCATATTTTCTCGATACTTCATAACCCCTAGACATGGCCGTAGCTAGGGGGAGGCTAAGGGATGCTGAGCCTCCTCTAGATCTAGACAAGCTATAATTAACCAAATGTGCATTACAACGTATAAAAAAATTGGTCTATAGAGTTTAGACAGTACTTCCCTCGCTGTCGGAAACGTGACGACTGCATGTCTATTATGTTTTTTTCGCAGTAGATTTCATTTTTTTTGAGTCACCCGGTATATGCAAATTCAAAAAATATGAATGGAATGATATATCACAAGCACAGACTCATCATATTTTATACATTTTACATAGGATTTATTTGGCAAACTTTTGAGCTGACGTCATCAAGTTTTTGGAGGGGATAACCAAATATATTTTGAGTAAAGATTTATGATGCTCTTTATAGCCTTAAAACATCTGCAACATTTCAAAACATTCAGATTAGCAGATTCAAAATTAAATTGCAAAATGTTGTTTTATAATTTTGATTTTTTTTTCCAAAAATCTGGACGTTTCGGGTCAAAACTTAATCCGGAGTCGTAAACTACATGTTTAGGACTATATTATTTTATACAATTTAAAACCCATTTACTATGTACAATTTTGAAGTGACGTCATCACACTAGTGGTGGGGATGATTAGACAAATTTTGGTTACCGTTTTACCATCTACATGATATTCCTAATATAACTACAAAATTTCACAACAATCGATCCAGTACTTTCGGAGATTACCTATCTAATAAAAATCCGGGACGGCAGACAGACGGACAGACGGACGGACAGACGGACGGACAGACAGACGGGAGACCTATTTCTTCGTCTTCTAGGGGTCGTGAAAGATCGAGAAAACGTAAAAGTAGAGAGTCAGCCGACGGACTCGATTACAATACTTGCTTTGCTTACGCTCGGGAAGTAAAAACAATGAAATTCGCAAAATCAAATCTTTTAATTTTTCGAAAAAGCTGGATTTGACAAGCTGTATTTTATGAGCGAGGGAACTTCTGTCGAATTCTTCGACCAATTTTTACTTCCCGAGCGTAAGCAAAGGAAGTATTGTAATCGAGTCCGTCGGCCGACTCTCTACTTTTACGTTTTCTCGATCTTTCATGACCCCTAGAAGACGAAGAAATAGGTCTCCCATTTCCGTCTGTCTGTCCGTCTGTCCGTCTGTCCGTCCGTCTGTCCGTCTGTCCGTCTGTCCGTCCGTCTGTCCGTCTGTCCGTCCGTCTGTCCGTCTGTCCGTCTGTTGTCCCGGATTTTTATTAGACAGATAATCTCCGAAAGTACTCGACCGATTGTTGTGAAATTTTGTACTTATATTAAGAATATCATGTAGATGGTAAAACGCTAACCAAAATTTGTCTAATCATCCCCACCACTAATGCGATGACGTCACTTCAAAATTGTACATAGTAAATGGGTTTTCAATTGTATAAAATAACATAGTCCTACACATGTAGTTTACAACTCTGAGTCGACTTTTCACCCGAAACGTCCAGATTTTTGGAAAAAAAATCAAAATTATAAAACAATATTTTGAAATTTAATTTTTAATCTGCTAACCAGAATGCTTTGAAATGTTGCAGATGTTTTAAGGCTATAAAGAGCATCATAAATCTTTAGTCAAAAAATATTTGCTTATCCCCTCCAAAAACTTGATGACGTCAGCTCAAAAGTTTGTGGAATAAATCATATCTAAAATGTACAAAATATGATGAGTCTGTACTTGTGATCTATCACTCCATTCATATTTTTTGGATTTGCATATACAGGGTGACTCAAAAAAATTAATGAATGCGTAAATATATTTTATTGATTTAATCAGGAACTACAAAACTGAATGCTCTGAAATCTTGCAGATGTTTGAAGGCTATAAAAAGCATCATAAATCTTTAGTCAAAAAATATTTGCTTATCCCCTCCAAAAACTTGATGACGTCAGCTCAAAAGTTTGTGGAATAAATCATATCTAAAATGTACAAAATATGATGGGTCTGTACTTGTGATCTATCATTCCATTCATATTTTTTGGATTTGCATATACAGGGTGACTCAAAAAAATTAATGAATGCGTAAATATATTTTATTGATTTAATCAGGAACTACAAAACCGAATGCTCTGAAATCTTGCAGATGTTTGAAGGCTATAAAGAGCATCATAAATCTTTAGTTAAAAAATATTTGCTTATCCCTTCCAAAAGCTTGATGACGTCAGCTCAAAAGTTTGTGGAATAAATCATATCTAAAATGTACAAAATATGATGAGTCTGTACTTGTGATTTATCATTCCATTCATATTTTTGGATTTGCATATGCAGGGTGACTCAAAAAAATTAATGAAGGCGTGAATTTATTTTATCGATTTAATCAGGAATTACAAAACCGAATGCTTTGAAATCTTGGGAATATTTTAAAGTTATTATAAGCATGGTAAACTTTTGTTCAAAATGTATTTGTTCATCCCTCCTAAAAAAATTGATGACGTCACCCTTAAATTTTGCTGAATAAATCCTATCTAAAATGCAAAAAATATGATGAGTTTGTACTTGTGATTTATCATTCCATTCATATTTTTTAGATTTTCTTAAGAGGTGGTTCAAAAAAATTAATGAAGTCAATTTATTTTATTGATTAAATTAAAGGCAACACTTATTATTAGTATTACACCCCAACCAACCCAATTTGGTAGACACAAAATTTGTTAAAGGAAAAACTCGGTTGAAACATAAGAGTAGCACGCTTATTTACATCGACTTTAACATTACAGACCTGCATTTGTTTTATGCGGTCACTTGGTTCCGCGAATGCGAAATAGACATGTTTATAATCAACCAATTGTGAATTTCACCGTCAAGAATTAAAATAAAACGCAATGTTTTATATAATAAGCGGAAGTCGAAGCAATAAAACCGATGGTCGTTTTGTTTACAGTTTCTCTGTTTGGCTCTTACGTATGCTGTTACGCTTGTCATCTTAAATTAAGAATGTTTATACATAAACGATTTTCAGTTGCCCCTCATATTACTAGACAGCGGATTTCTGTCGGGCTACGTCACGATTATAGGGGCGGACGTGCTGGATTCCATAAATATAATTAACGATTTATTAATCAAACGGCTAAGTAAAGGAGAACGGGAATTAACAGCAGAGTGCAACGAAACAACGTTATTCTAATCTCAAATAAACGAAGTGCAGTCCGCAACGGCAATGAATTCGCATCCCGTGCGAGCCGTACCGAGTTTGGCCTTGCCTAGCCCGACAGAAATCCGCTCTCTAGATATTACACACCGGCGCCGTATACGTGAGTAAATTGTTTCGTTATTTTATTGATTATAAGAAATCAATATTCAAAACGACCCAATTCATTTTCCCGAAAATTTGGGAACACAATAATTTTATTCTTAGTGTTACACTACATCTATCCCAACTGATATACGTGTCCTTGCAAAAATGTTGATGACGTCATCACAATTTTTTTTTAAATTCCCACTACAAAAATGTAATGAGAAAAAAAAACATAATATAGGCATGCAGTCGTCAAGTTTCCGACAGCGAGGGAAGTACTGTCTAAACTCTTTAGACCAATTTTTTTAATCTTATACTAAAACAACCAGTATTTCCCTCCTTATGGAAAAGGTTTATAATTGTATTATTGTAGGTTTATATTTGTACTATTGTCAAAAAAAAAAAGATATTTCATTATTGTGAATTCTGCTAAAATCTTAGAGACAAATAAAGGTATCTTCGGCATTTAAATGTGTGTTTGGTGTTAACGGTTCATATAAAGAACTTCAAACCATGAACACTCGAACCATTACCAAATTGGTGTCAGAAGTGGGATGTGAAATACTTTACGGAAGGTCTAAAATCAAATCATTGTGTAACAAAGTTCTTATATGAAAATAACACAGAGTCAGTTAGTCTCGTCAAGTTCCAACATATCCGAATAAGGAATGAAAATTCTTTCTTTATGACTTTTCTTTGACAATTTCATCGCAGACAGATTAGGTAAGTCCAGGTCATGTTTTTAATAGTATTTTTAATCAGAAAAATTAAAATATCTACTTCTTTCTTATTTATCATCCGACTATATTATCTAGCATTGTCCATAACTATAATGGAATTAGCGTCCAAAATGGTAATTATTGCAAAATAAAGGGTCATTCATTCCAGTGCAGAAAACGTGCTTACAATATTGATTAAAAAAACACCTCGTCACAACAGGAACAAAAGGACGACCGACATAAATGCGACGCGTATAAGTCATTTATACGGACCAAAATGGCAAATAAAAGTAACAAAAATTTTAATGTTAATTTGATTCCGTCAGCCAAGGGCAGTGGAGCTTATAAACATCACTCAAGCAAAAACAAGCTGCATTGAAGTCACAGAATTTTATGTACACAAACAACCTTGTTAATCAAATTGGAAGCTCTATTTTCCACTGATGAAAAATTTTGCTTTTGATTTTGACCACCAAATGATCCAAACAAATCAGATAGACGGTTTCACACTGGTTCAGTTTAACTTCAAGACACGTACAGTAGTTAAAAGTACAAGAGGCGACGAGGAAAATGATCGACGCTATTAAAATTCTGTTGGTATTCCGAAACAAAATTTACTGAAGAAAATGTCAAACAAGAAACCGCAACCAACCTCAGCAAAGAATTCGTAATTGAACCATTGGACCGAAACGTGTTTTAATTCATGCTGAATTCGAAGAAACAGTTTTAAGTGTGTCTGCGAAAATATTAAAACTTATTTTTGACTGAAATCGCCAAAGTATGAGAAATACACACAAATATTTTTTTTCTAAGATTCTACAACCGGAAGCTTAAAATGAGTTAAGGTGTTAAGCTAAAAATAAGAATAGTTTATTAAACAACAAATACAAAAGCATGTCACAGTGCAATATCAAGTAACATCTGCTTAATAAAATTTTGGGGAACGTAATTAATTTGTACGAGAACGTGACTAGGCAAAATTTGGTTAGTGTTTTATTATCTCGACAAAAATTCCAACGTACACACAGTTGTAAATTGTATCACTTCTTAATAAAATTACAAACAACGCTTAAATGAACAGGAGAAGTTGCAGTTTCGGATTCTCCAACTTGCAATCGTCAAAATTAACTTATTATATTGACTACCACAACTAAAAATTGCTAGTTACGCCACTGGAAATATAAAGAAAAGTTATTTTTAAACGAACTGAGGTCAAAAACGGTTTCACTCGATTTTAATTACAAATGTAATTAATAATTTTTGCGTAATTTACAGTTAAGGCAAAAAATAATCGCTGCGTAAGTTTTCCTTCTACTAATATGTGCAAATAAGCAAATTTAAATTCTTAAATTAGAAATTCCCTATTTTTCACTTTTCACTTATTTTGCAGACTCACGACTGTGTAAGCAAATTTGACTAAATTTTCTTTAATCTTAAAACACAATACACGCTGTGAGCCCAAAAAACACCTCCATAAAACTGTCTAAAATCGCCATAAAACACATCCATTCCATAATTTACATCGGCGATCACGGAACCTGACATCTGGACAAATCAATTCACGCAATCAAAACAAACACCAATGACCCCTTCGAATTCCTGAAATTGCAAGCTCAACTAACCAGAATGTAAAATTATTTTGAGGCGTTACGCAAGAACAAAACGACTTTCCAACTGCAGAAACATTTTCTTGATACACCCAAATGCCACCCTTGGAAGATAAATGGCTCTAGGTTACTTACGTGCCAAAGCCGCTAATACTAGCAGGAACAGTTTCATGTTTACAGTTTCTTCTAAACTATTAATATGAATCTTCAGAAATCTTCATTTTTCACCACGGTGGATGTGCCGTCATCGTCAAACTATGCCCACTTTGAGTTCAGCGCATATTTAATGGAAGTTCACGGCTGGAACAAAGATAAATTTTCAGAATTGGTCATCGTTCAACTATCGCTTTCAATTAATTTATTAATTTATGGATCGTTTGTATTTAGTACGTCATACATAGTTGGTACAGTGAATGGATCAGTGGGTCGAGAGAAGAAGATCGGTGACACATATTGTCAAGCTTGGTGTTAATGAAAGACTACAAATTACAAATTCAGAAACCTTTAATTTTAATGGGTCCACAAAATTTTTTAAACATTTTCGGTTCCCAGAATTTTTCTAAAAAAAAATAAATTGATTCTGTTCTGTTGTAAAAAATATTGATTTCAAAACACTAGATTTAGGGTGAAAAATTTTGTTAACCAATTTTTTAATTATGGCAAATTTTTTATCCAATGTAAATGAGATTGTGTTAAAGGCCATCTCAATTTACTAAACATACCTTAAAAGCGCAAAAAAAAATTTGAGGTGCTAAAGTAAGTACACACGCAAATTAACGCACAGTGTAATACAAAATTGAAAACATTTTTCTTTTTCAAAAATGTTAAAAAACGTGGTTTCTATTGGGAAAAATAAATTCAATGTTTGCTACTCGAGAATAATTTAGTAGGCTATAAAATAGGTTGCGTGCATCGCGTCACGTAGTTTCTTATTATGTAGTTTCAAACATGATTCATTGCTTCAAAATAAAACAGATGACTAAAATTTTGAAAAAAAAGTCGGCAACAATTATCACATTTTCTTATAATTTAAGCTAAACCACATGTCTTACAGTTTATGAAGTCAAAGGTCACTTACATATACAGTGTGTTCGTCTGTTACGAAGAAAAACAAAAGGTTAAGAGCATGACAGCGAGTTTTCTCGAGAAAATATAAAATTCAAAACAATGATTTATTAAATTAAAAAAAACATATATGGCGGTGTTTAAAAAAAATCGGGACACACTGAATCTTGGATTTATTATAGTACAGTACGTCGTTTTATAAAATAACATACCCCTGTATTTGTGGTTTATGAATACGCCTACTATTATCTATGTTTTTTTTAATGTGTAGAGGTTATAATAAATAAAATTTAACACAATCAGATTTTATAGTTTTTCAAAGATACAGGATTAGTTCAAAAGCGAGGGAAATTATGTCGAAATAACCGTCGACTATTTTTCAATTACATATTGCAATGTATTATATCATTTTCAGTTAATGATTGGGTTAATTAAAGTAAATATCCATGTATTGTTAATTGTTGTTTACTATAAAATAATACTTTGTAGCATGGACCGTAGCGCCCTCTGGATCACGCCCACGCAACTCTCGCGCCTCCAGTCACCTCGGCCCAACCTCGCTCGAGTCACTAGTTACAACCGCTGCGGCCAGGAGGCACTGCCCGTCAACGCCTACGCACACTAATCGCCACACCGCAATATACGTGGATGCAAGAATCATTCGTCAAGCAACTTCTCCACTCAAACTGAGTTCCAAGAGTTATCTGTGCATCACTTCTGCATCCTGATGGTCGTTGTGTTCTCTTACAGCATCCTGGGGGTCCTAAGAGACGGAATCAGCACCACCCGCTGAGGCGTTTCATGTACACATTGTTTGAAAAATATTGTAATGTATGTTAAGTTTATTCGTATATACACTGCGTTTCAAATAAAATGCACCACCTAGAAGGAGTAGGTGTAGAATGTTGAAATTTGGTGGAGAAGACTATTACATATAGACAAACATTTGATTAAAATTTGAACTAAAAACTACAACTTGTTTAGATAATATACCGGGTGTTATTCGATTTTTATTAATTTTTTGATTATATTTTAAAGACACTTGAGTAAGATTCTTTTGCAATTTGACTTGACATTTGTCATGACTGTGCTTGCAAAAATGCTACGAGTTCGCACACGAGGTAATTTTCAACAGATAACACCTATTGAAACAGGGGGAATTATTGGGTTGCATGAGGCTGGTTTACCATTTCGGGAAATCACCAGAATACTAGGCCCAACGCATTCTACGATATTAAGAACGAGTCGAGAATGGAACAGCGAAGAGCTACAAATGCGTCGCAGGGGTACCGACCGTTTCAGAGTAACCCAAGCACGCGAAGATCATTTGCTAAGAAGAAGTGTTATTCAATACCCTTGGTAACCATAACGATCAGTCTGGGTGGACTGGATGACAGCAATTGGGCACAGAATCCGAGGAGTACCATCTACCACCAAATTCGTTCCTTTGGCTTGAGATCTTATGGTCCAAACTGTAAACTTCCCTTACCACAAGAACACAAAACTACCAGGCTTCACTGGTACTAAGACAGGCAGCAATGGCTGTAATAGTGGAATGTCATAATGTTTAGAAACGAGTCTAGGTTTTGTTTGTGGCACTCTGATGGACGCATACGTGTTCGAAGGCCTCGAGGCCAAAAGTAAAATCTGGAATTTGTACAGAGACGTCATACCGCTCTAACACCTGGAGTAATGATATGGGGTGGTATACACATCTGTTGAAGTACCCCCTTAGTGTTCATTCCAGGCACGCTAAATGCCCGGCGTTACATCGATAACGTGTTAAATCAAATTCTTTTTCCTTACCTCTAGAACCGTCGAAGAACATCTTTTCAACAAGATAATGCGTGGCCTCATGTGGCCATATTAACTTAAAGAGTGTTTGAAGAAAATAACGTCAACTTCTTACCCTGGCCTGCCCGATTACCAGATTTATCAACAATCGAAGATGTTTAGGATGTAATGCATAGAAGGCTGCGCAATTTACCACATCCTCCAAAGACTTTGGAAGAATTGCTACAACAAATTCAAAATGCCTGGAATGAGATACCCCGACAGGCAATAGATCATCTCATTTTAAGCATGCCTAGAAGAATACAGTCTTGTATTCGCGCACATGTAATTTTAACTCATTATTAACATTTCTTGTATTAGACATTTTATTTTTTCTTTCAAATTTTAATCAAATGTTTGTCTATACGCAATAGACTTCTCCACCAAATTTCAACATTCTACGCCTACTCCTTCTAGGTGGTGCATTTTATTTGAAACGCAGTGTATATTTGAAAGGATAATTATAATTCGCAAAACGATTCACTCTCTTGCATTTCTCTTGCATCTCTGCTGCCGTATGAGTCCCCTCGCGTCTCGTCGTGCATCATTTTAGGGGACATGCGCAGTGGTTCGTCACAGTCGGCCATGCTACCCTTAGTCTGCGTCCTCGCAGACCATAGTGAATGGTATTGAACTAGAACATCACTTATATTACTTACAATACCTACTCAAATTATACATTACATCTCATGCAATATTTCTACTCAAAACTCAAGGACATCTGGGCCCTTTCGTTTCGTGTTTTTTTTTTTCATACAAACCCCTTACAGAAATACCATGGCCGTTTACCATGTATTTCATTCCACCAAGGCCGTTTACCTTGTGTTTCCTTTCACCAAGGCCGTTTACCTTGTATTTCGTTTCACCAAGGCCGTTTACCTTGTATTTCGTTTCACCAAGGCCGTTTACCTTGTATTTCGTTTCACCAAGGCCGTTTACCTTGTATTTCGTCTCACCAAGGCCGTTTACCTTGTATTTCGTCTCACCAAGGCCGTTTACCTTGTATTTCGTTTCACCAAGGCCGTTTACCTTGTATTTCGTTTCACCAAGGCCGTTTACCTTGTATTTCGTTTCACCAAGGCCGTTTACCTTGTATTTCGTTTCACCAAGGCCGTTTACCTTGTATTTCGTTTCATCAAGGCCGTTTATCTTGTATTTCGTTTCACCAAGGCCGTTTACCTTGTATTTCGTTTCACCAAGGCCGTTTACCTTGTATTTAGCACTCTTCACTCATTGAAGATGTACTGTCACTAAATTGTTCCACACTGAACAACTTCATCTTGTCTATTGCACATACACCTTTGTATGGCTTTTGGGACCGACAAGACCCTGGCATGTCTTCAATGCAGTATCGGTCATTAGGTAACTTCTTAGTCACAACAAATGGCCCTCTATTTTTTTGCATACATTTGCGACTCTTACCATCATTCGTTAAAGCTGGAGATCGAATCAATACTTGTTCTCCTATTGCATATTCTCTAGGTTTCCTTCTACTTTTGTCAAACCTTTGTTTTTGTTTCTGCTGCTCATTTATCGTTTTTATGGCTGCCTCTGTTCGTATTTCATCTAAATCTCTGGAATTGTCGTTCGTGTCTATCTCATTTTGCAGAAAAGCTTCACCAACCCCTCTTGGTCGATAACCAAAAAACAGTTCATAGGCACTTTTGCCTGTAGTCGCATTTATTGTATTATTAATGGCAAATCTTACCTTTGGAACCGTTTTGTCCCATTTTTCTTCGTCTGTCATGGATGCAGAGATTGAATTAAGAATCGTTTGATTATATCTTTCTACTTGGCCGTTTGCCCGTGGTGTTGCTGTTGCATTATATACTGTTTTGACTCCTAATCCTTTTGTATATTCAACGAATCGTTTGCTTGTAAATGCTGCGCCTCTATCGCAGATTATTCTATTTGGAACACCAAAAGTTTCGATGATTTCGTTCAAGAAATTAGTAGCAGGACCAACTTTCGTACTTTGTACAGCTTTCATAAACAGAAATTTTGTAAAAGCATCTATGCCTACTATCAAGTATGAATTCTTTCTTCTAGTACTCACAAATGGACCAAGATGATCGATATGTAATGTTTCCATGGGTCGTTTACCCTTATCAATAGGATTCAAAAATCCAGGCTGCTGACCATGCGGCACTTTATTATATGTACAATTCAAGCACCCTCTTATATATCGTTTTATATAACGGCGCATAGATGGGAACCAATATAAGCTACTTACAGCCTCAAACGTTTTGTTGTCACCAAAATGGCCTTTCTCATCATGATTTTGAGATACTATTTGCCTTCGAGAATGTTTAGGTACAAGCCATCTCAACCCTTCATTCGTTTTCTTATAAATCCTATTATCTTGCAGTTGGTACTCGTCGTGAATTTGTTCTTCCTCTTTA